CAGAGATCCACCTGGCTCTGCCTCCTGAGTGCTGGGATTAAAGGCATGCACCACCACTGCCTGGCCTCCTTCTTGTTCTTTTGCAGACAGGGTTTCCTATTGCCGCCCAAGTATTGCCTGGAACTCTTGATCTCCCTTCTGGAACACTGGGATGACAAGCGTGTGCCATACACTTTTTTTTTTCTTTCGGTAGGTTCTTCACGGTGGGGACCACACATGGTATTTATCTTGAATTTTGGAGTCTGTGGAATCCAGTAGGTTGGCTGAGTGCATGGTGTCGGGGGAGACTGAGGCTGGGTAGGGAAGGGAAGAGCTGTGCACAAAGGCAGCTTGCCTGGCCCTTTCAGAGCCAGCAGTGGGGTGCAGGTGCACTGCCTAACAAAAGCCCGGGTTCTGAGTGGGGAGGGATGGTTCTGGCTTTTCAGGTGCAACTAATGAATGGTAGGTGAATGGGGGTGAGTGGGAGGCCAAAGAATGGGGACGAGGCCAGCAGAACTTCAGGGAAACAGTGGCAACTAATGGGCATGAACTCTGAAAGGCTCCCTTTTTGAACCTGCCAGAGGAAGCAGCCTTTTGCTGGCCCTTTTTTTCTTCTTGCTTTTTCCCCCTTCTTTCTTTTTTTTTTTTTTTGTCCTAATGTAGGGAGGAAGAGAAGGCTTTTATCTACTCCCAGTATTTAGGCATTTCCTGTGACGCTGGCTGGATGCCCGTGACTGTGTCCTCCCTACCTCAACTCCTCCCCGTGCTCCTGGGAGCCTGGCAGACAAGGGTTAACGCCAGGACACACTTTACAGACACCAGAAACCAGGGGTGCTTCCGGGAGGGAAGCTGGACTTGCCTCCCATGCCAGATCTGACACCTTCCAGCCTCAGGTTTTAGCCAGACTCTCAGGGTAGCACATCGGGTGTGTGACGAGTGAGGGTTGCCTCACAGTCAACCCCTGGAGTGGGGCTGTGATATGTCCCATCTGTCCCCAGCATCCTGCCTTCTGGGTGTGCGGCTGGGAGGGAGAAATAAACTAAAGACTAAAGATGTGATTCAAGAGGAAGAGGGCCGGGGATGTAGCTGGGTGGACGAGTGCTCGCCCATCACAGGAAAGGTCCTGGGTGATATTCACAGCCCCATGATGAAAACAAAGGAACAAGCAACAAAAACCGTCAAAAGGCAGCGTTTGACTCTGGTGGTTCCCGGGGTTGGCGGATGATCAGAAGAGCCGCCTGGCTCCCCCATCTTCTTTACCCGTGTTTGGCTTTTCAAAGTCTGTTCACAACACATCTGGCTTTCTCCCCTGTCAGCTCCCTAGTGTGGAGGAGGGTCTGATGCAGATACTTGCAGCAAGGGAGACACCAGCCTGCCTCCAGCCCCTCCTTGCTACTGGCTACAGTGTGATGAGCAGCCTTATCAGTCCACCCCACACTTCTGATTTATTTTTTTGTGGGCTGGGAATAATACAGTTTCCCCTACCTGGAAACAAATCTGAGAGGCCAGCAGCAAGCCTTTTGGTATGGTCGAGATACCAGCTAGTCATATTTCCTTTTTATTTGTTTTCCTTTTTTTCCTAGTTACTTTCAATCCGAAATTCCAAGTGGTCTAAAATCCAAAACCTGTCATATCATGAAACTTAATGCATAAAATCATGAATTAAATATTACATAAAACAGCTTCCTGCGTGAGGTTATATGGGACAATGATACCTTTTGTGTTTTAGTCTTGGGACCCATCCCTAAGAGAGCTCACTCTGTCTGCACAAATATTCCCAAAACTGAAAAATTCTAAAATCCCAAACACTTCTGATCCTGAGAATTTCAGGTAAGTGACACTCAGGGTGTGGGTCACCTCCTGTCTGTCATTTTCTGTAAGGAGTAGATCCAGGGAATGGGGACCCAAAAGTTCTGGCTGTGGGGAAGAGGCTTGGAACAGAGATGATAGAGCTGTGGCATGCTCTGATCCCCCACAGCTCAGCCTGGGTTCATGGCCAAGTTCACGGTTGGGGTCGTGACCATGGTTCTGAAGTTGCTTCCCTCCGCCCCCATCTTGTGCTTTAAAAAAAAAAAGAAATCATTATTGTAGCTGCCAAATCAATATTAAAACCAGGGGCTTATGAGAGCTGCCTGGCAGGCAGCTCCAGGAATCTTTTTACACTTCTTAATATCAGGGGTGAGAGAGGAGGTGGGGGGGGGGCATCATCTCACCTGGGAAGGTTTGAGGACAGCAGAGAGGATTCTCTGTGGGCCAGTGAGACCCTTGCCTGGGGTCTGAAAGACTTTGTTTCTGAAACATTTCAACAGAATCAGGAAGAGCCATGCCCTGACTTCCTGGGTGGAAAAGAAGTTCATGGGATGGACTGGAAGGAGAGAACCTTCTAGAAGCCAGCTTTGCTCAGGAACCTGGTCTCTGATACTGCAGGGCTGGGGATCTGGCTTTGCTTGTGTGGGTGAGGGAAGCCCAACACCGTAAACATCACTGATCAATTTTCAGTTAAAAACTTGCATGCTGCTTCCTCCGGAAGCCCTGATGTGCAGTGTTCATTCCCGGGGTAATAGGAGAGGCTCATGAAGGACAAAGTTGGTTCCTGCAGTGTCCGTGGGGTATCGAGACCTGAAAATGACCCAGATGTCAGAGGACTAAATTTGACAAAGAAATGAAGCCATATGCCAATGCTGGGCACTTAAGGCTCTATCATGAGCTGGGCGGTGGTGGAGCGTGCCTTTAATCCCAGCACTCGGGAGGCAGAGGCAGGCAGATCTCTGTGAGTTCGAGGCCAGCCTGGTCTACAGAGTGAGTTCCAGGACAGCCAGGACTACAAAGTAAGACTCTGCCTCCTAAGAATTTGCTAATTTTCCTAAACATTAACTAGTGAGATTAAACAAATAATTATAAACTAGATGAGGCTTTAAAGAACA